AGAGAGACAGGAAAGAAATCCATTATTCTAGCTTTTTATTATGATAAAAAATAAATCTCAATTAAAATGATGTGTCGTATTACTAAAATCTAAAAAACAATTCTACTGGTATGTCCGTCCAATTTTCATTGCGCGAGCCTGTATCAATCTCTTCTAATTCATTCTTCCATTCAACCTGTACCCACTAACTAATCTGTCAAATTAACAAACACAAACGCGTCGAACCGCCGCTAATAAAACTGCAACCAACTAATCCTCAACAAAACCTTTTCCTAGCATTCCGCCCCCGCAACCGTTTCTCCACTTGCCCTACCGTAAAGAGCCTCCCCGCTTCGTTCATCGGCCTTTCTCAGCAGTAAGTAGAGATGGGTTCGAGTTCGCACAGATGCATCACACAAATAAATTAAATTGTAGATAAATATAGATTTATAAATAATTGCCTGCTGTCTTTAAACTGTCTGTAGCCAGTCTATACACATTTGCAAATGATTCAAAAATAATCTACTGAGGTAAATTGTCCAGATTTATTTTATAATGTTAGCCTGACAGTTTATTTGATTCTAAATTGGTCAGAGATTGAATATCCATGAGCTGTTTAATCCCATCGCTGGCCAGCACCCTCGTCACAAGCCGGCGAAGAAAGGGACCTCCAGTTCTACGTCGTACGGCACTGGTTGCTGTCGGAGGTTCTCTTTAACAGAGAAAACACTCCGCAAAAGAGAAAGAGAGAGAAGAGACGCGTCACCCACCAGCAGGCGTCCGTACGGCGTTGCCTCTCTCGTCTCGTGCTCATTCCTCATCTCATTCTCGTGTCCGGCACGGTGTACGTATCACGGGGATCGAGTGTACTGTGCCCTGGATCCATCGGTTCTCGATCGGCTGACTCGCCCGTCGCTCGATCATCGTCCACGGATCCGTCGTCGAAATCTCCGCCAGAAACCCGTTATTTCGAGGGAGATAGAGTTCGCGAGTTAGGCAAGTAAACGATGTTTCTCTTGCTAAGCTCGTTTTGCTGCTATTCTCGTTTTTCGCGCTACGTTCCTCCGTTTTAAACGCGCTTGCACTCATGCCGTGACGAGATTTTTTTTAATCGATCCCTTCTCTCTATTGCACAGATTTAATAGAGAGCGAGGAATAAGTAATATAATAATACGAAATATATTGTAGAATACATAATAGATTGATTACGAATGAAAATATCCAAATATTATTTTTTGCCTTCGACGAATTTTTCAATCAATTATACTTTTCGTTTTTATTAAACAAATTTAACAGAGCAAAAACTGTGTGACATAAATATATTAAATATATTAAAGGATCAATTGCATTTTGAATGCAGTAAGAATTGCAAAAATTGAAATGATCGATGATAACGGAGTGACATAAAAGCTTCATTCAAGATAAAATTGTGAATAGTATTGATAACATCGATGATTCATTGCCTTCTGAAGAATGTAGCAAATCGCAGGTAGTCAATGGGTTTACCGTAGGACAAACATATTTTTAGGACTGTAATGAGATTAGTTTTAAACCTAGTGATTCATCGAATAGCAAAAAGAAATTCAAACTACAATTGCTCTTAACATATGATCGTATGATTCTAATATGACTTCTATAAATGTATCTTCTATCAAATATGATAACGTGTTATTTTCACAGATAAATTTGTTAGAATTTAATCGATTAAAATCGAAAATATTCTGCTTTCAGCTGAAAAATAATGCTCATGGCTTAGACTCGGTTTAATAACATTAATCGATCGAAGGGGTGGAAATGGCTCGAATAAATCAGACGACTTTTGCAATATTGTTATTTGCAATAACAATTGCAGCAAGTAAGTGTTACTCATTAACACGTTCGCACTCGGTATATTATCGCGGTTATCAATTAAAGTTTTTCCCCGGTTTCAACTTTATCGGGAAACATTATATCACTCATCGGACATAACTTGAATACAATTTTTTAGCAATACGTAAACGGGGTCAGATATCTTATGTAGCTTACTGTAACGAAAGAGAAATTACAATTTTGTCGAAACGCGCGCGGAACAGTTGGAGTTTGTCTATCGACGATCACAACGTGTTCTCCATTCATCGCTCTTACGAGAAGACGTTTTATCCATTTTGATTAGATAGCGATTCGACCCTTCGACCTGGCATCCTTCTGAACTTTCTCAAGTTTATTTCGGTCTCCAAAATCTAAGCGGTTTAGAAGCATACATACAACACATTTAGCATTAATATCATAATAAGAAGGATTATGGGATTTTAAATGTAGAACTATTGTACGTATGTAAAATCAGATATTAGTAAGCGTTGAAGATAAAGAAAGGGGTGTTGTAGGATCAATCCAGAGGGGAGATATGTCACCCACGGAGGTGACCGAAGAACGCCATTATTGGCCAAAGCTAATCGCTCCCAGCGAAAGAGGTAGCTTATTCTCGCTGGTCTCAAACATTTCGTTCACTCAAACAATTAAAACCAGCATGACGTTAAGACTTAATCCTCCCTTCTACAGAATAAAACACTCTGTAGCGTTATCTATTTAAATTACCGTAAAAACGAATGGTTGGAAATTGATATTCACATTTCTTCTTCTGAAAACAATTTTAGGCACCTTTTCCCTTTTTAATTTGGTTAAGGTGTTTACACCTGGACGTTGTTCTTCCAACCACTAACTTCTGGCCTCTGGGAATAACAATAATACAGTGTAAATAACAATTTTTCAATTAATGTAATTACCAGCGTAACGACAATCGTACTAGTTGACAGGGTCTGAGATGACTAAAATCGTGGCTAACTCAATCCGCTTTTGAGATATTTATTTTATAAATTTCTTATGTATTTAGGCGCACAGATAAAGAGAAAGCATCCCTGTGAGCAGAGTTCGTGTTATCCTGCCACGGGAAATCTATTGATCGGCCGCAAAGATCGGCTGACTGCTTCATCTACTTGCGGTTTAAAAGGGCCAGAGAGATATTGCATCGTTTCGCATTTGAAGGACCGCAAGAAGTGTTTCTTCTGCGATTCGTCACTACCAAAACAGCAACATAATATCGAAAATATTGTTACTGAGTAAGTAAAGTTCAAATAAATTAAATAAAAAATATTTTCAGATTATCAAAGGAAGCGAGATAAATATACTATACAAAATTATAATCAGTATCAGCTTATCTCTCATTTTACAAAAATCATTAATATCACAACTTTATTATTTACTTGTTTATTTATGGTCGTATCGGATAATAAATAGTTATTAGTCGTTATAATATATACATATAGTAAATAGATTCTTACCACAGAATTTACAATTTTATTGTTTTATTTAATATTCTAGGAAAGGATGGTGGCAAGCGGAAAATGGGATGGAGAACGTTTGGATACAATTCGACTTGGAATCGGAGTTTCACTTCACCCATATCATAATCCGTTTCAAGACGTTCAGGCCGGCCGCGATGCTGATCGAGAGATCGTACGATTTCGGGAAAACCTGGCAGGTTTATCGGTACTTCGCACACAATTGCGACCAGTATTTCCCGGGAGTGTCGACGGAACCACCTCAGAAACTGACGGACGTTATCTGCGAGACGAGGTACTCCGGCGTGGCGCCGTCGACTGGAGGTGATGTTATCTTCAGGTATGCATACATGTAAATAGTGATAAAAGTGATCAAATCGCATAAGTATGCGCTTAGTGGCGAGGTCATTGAAATGTTACTGACACTTCGCTTATCTTGCAACACAGGCTTGCAGCCGAACATTCACATAATTTTATTAGGTCACTCCAATAAAGTGCAACGTAATTCAATGCACTTATTACAAAATTATTTTACTTATTAAGAATTTCTATATTATTCTTTACCTATTAAAATACTAAATGCAATTTTCTTTAATGATTTCCAGAGTACTGCCACGAAACTTGGAGATAGACAATCCCTACTCGAAGGAAGTGCAAACCCAATTGAAAATTACGAATCTTCGTATAAACATGACTAGATTGCATACTTTGGGCGACGATCTCTTAGACGATCGAGCCGAGACCAGTGAGAAATACTACTATGCCATTCAGAATATGGTGATTCGTGGATCCTGTTCCTGTTACGGTCACGCGTCCAGGTGTCTACCACTTCCGGGCGTTTCACACGAGGAGAACATGGTCCACGGTAGATGCGAGTGCACTCACAACACTACCGGTTTAAATTGTGAGAGGTGTCAAGATTTTTATAACGACCTCCCATGGAAACCGGCTGTGGGCAAGCAGACCAACGCGTGCAGACCTTGCAATTGTAACAACCACTCAACGTCTTGTCATTTTGATGAAGCCGTTTACGAGAGATCTGGGAGAGTGTCTGGCGGCGTTTGCGATGATTGCCAGCACAACACCAGAGGACAGAATTGTGAACTGTGCAAACCGTTTTATTATCATGATGTCACGAAGGATATATCTCATACCGAGGCGTGTCTGCGTAAGTGTTCTTGCAATTTTTTTATTTTGACACCAACTTGCTTCTTCATTCAAAAATTATAGGGATTCGATTTAATTTCTTTATACAGCTTGTAATTGTGATCTGGGTGGTTCTTTGGACGACGGCATATGCGACTCGAGAACCGATCCTCTCAGTGGTGACGAATCTGGACGCTGTCACTGTAAAGCGAACGTGGAAGGTCGTCGATGCGATCGTTGCAAGAACGGATTCTGGAACTTCGACCCCGAGAGTCCCGAGGGTTGTCAAGGTACATCAGTTAATTATTATAATATTAAATACTAGTCAAATTTATTGTTGATTGATTAACAATAGTAAACAAACAATTATCTGATATCGTTTTAATGAATGAAAGAATCGACGTGACGTGAACTTTGTCTTCAGCTTGTACCTGCAACACTTTGGGCACCATCGACAATCTGGGGTGCAACATGTTGACTGGCGAGTGCACTTGTAAGCGTTTTGTTACTGGCCGCGATTGCAATCAGTGTCGACAGGAGTACTGGGGTCTCTCGGAGGATCCGGACGGTTGCAAACCTTGCGATTGCGATCCTGGAGGTTCGTATGAAAATTCATGCGATGTAATAACCGGTCAGTGCCGTTGCAGGCCTCACGTCAGCGGCAGGACTTGCAACCAGCCGGAACAGAGTTATTACACAGGATCGTTGGACTTCTTGATTTACGAGGGTGAATTGTCAAGAGCTACTGAGGTAATTCTGCATTTTCCTTTTCATTGTTTTTAAAATCTCATATCTGATAAAAAATAGTACCACACAAGGATTAATACAATTTTTAATTGTTACATTCTTTTATAATTATAATTTTTAATAAAAATCGCAATTTCTTTGCATAGAATTGTCAAGTGGTGATCAGAGAACCGTACCGCGACGGAAGGAACAGTACATGGACTGGAACTGGATTCATGAAGGCATTAGAGGGCTCGCTTTTGAATTTCACAATCGACGATATCCGTAAAAGTCTGTGGTATGACATAATCGTCAGATACGAACCGGTCCAAGTAGGTCCTTGGGAGAATGTTCAGATAATCATTGAGAGAGACGAGCCGCCGGATCCGAATGGGCCGTGCGCTGACTGGAGGCCGGAGCAGGATAAATTGTATACGCAGCTTCCTTTGAGATCGAGGAACGTCGTCGTGCAACCCTCCGTTTGCTTGGAAGCTGGAAAACGGTACAACGTTGTGCTGCAGTTCCGCAAGTTCAACAATCAAGTGGACACACCGTCTGCATCCATTCTGGTCGACTCGGTGTGTAAAAATAATTCTTTTAAGAACTAAAAATAACTTAATCGATGTAAATCAATTAACTATTAATTTCATGCATTTATAGAAAAATTGACTGTGCTTAATGTATAAACATTTCGCATTAAAATCTGTCTTATCACCGATATTAATCAATCGATCTTTATTCTCAGATCGTCCTGAGACCGAAGATAGAAGCGATACCGTTTTTCAAAGACCCAGTAGTCGGTGAGCTGCGCCGGCAAGAATACGAGAGATACTGCAACGATTACTTCAACGACATCAATGCAGTCTGGTCCATCATTCCAGATGTTTGCAGAAAGTATCACAACAGCATCGGCTACTATGTTTACGATGGAGCACATTGTAAGTATATTTTCAGAAATTTTATTCATAAATACGGAGGGAATTAGAAATATTCAAGATTGTCCACTAGTCATTGATTAGATCATACAGCTTGTCATAAATATATTGTTAAAATACAGAAATACATTCATTTAACGATCTCTTTTAATTCAGCATACTTTAATAAAATTATTAAATAAATTATTGTATAATACATATTATTAAGTTTTCTAAAATTTTTATAGCTTGTGATTGCAATCCCACTGGATCTCACAGTTTGCTCTGCGAGAATTACGGAGGCATCTGCCCTTGCAAGCCCAACGTAGTCGGTAGACGCTGTGACCGTTGCGCACCTGGAACCTACGGTTTCGGGCCGGAGGGTTGCGTTCCTTGCGATTGTGACGGCGTGGGAGCTCTAGATAATTTCTGTGACGTGGAGACAGGCAGGTGCAAGTGTCGGCCGAATACTTACGGTAGAACCTGCGGTCAGTGCGAGCCTGGTTTCTGGAACTTCCCTCACTGTCAACGGTGCGAGTGCAACGGCCATGCCGAGAGTTGCGACTCGAAGACCGGAGCTTGCATCAACTGTCGAGACTTCACGACTGGACATAATTGCGACCGGTGCATTGAAACTTACTATGGTGATCCTAGAATTGGCGCTGATATTCCATGCAGAGCGTGTCCCTGCCCGGGTGAGTTATACTTACAATTAGACTCCAGATTTTTGGGAAAAATTAAACATTTATAATTTCAATTGGTATTTTCTTGTTCTAAAAAAAATGATAATGTATATTCTATTTTTTATGTTCTGCGTATTCGCAGGAACTCTGAATTCTGGACACTCGTACGCCGAGAGCTGCTCTTTGGACTCAGTGACTCACGACGTGATCTGCGAGTGCTTCGAAGGCTACGCCGGACCCCGCTGCGAAACCTGCGCGGAGAATTACTTCGGTAATCCCGAGGTACCCGGCGGCAGCTGCGAGCCGTGCAATTGTAACAACAATACCGATTTGCAACGACCTGGCAATTGTGACCCGCACACCGGCCGTTGCCTGCAGTGCCTATACAATACTGACGGTGCAAATTGTCAAATTTGTAAAGCAGGATATTACGGTAACGCTCTGGAACAGGATTGCCAGGACTGCCAGTGCGATGTATTGGGAACGGACAGAAATGCTGGGACCTGCGATCATCGGACGGGTCAGTGTCCTTGCTTGCCGCATGTCATTGGATTACTTTGCGATTCTTGTGAGGAAAATCACTGGAGGATTGCCAGTGGCCAGGGATGCGATCCTTGCATGTGCGACGCCGTTGGCAGCGTGTCCGACAGATGCAATCCGTATGACGGTAGCTGCGAATGCAGACAAGGCTTCGGCGGCAGACGCTGTAACGAATGTCAATCGAACTACTGGGGCAACCCGAACGTAGAGTGTTACCCCTGCGACTGCGATCTGACCGGATCTGCCAGCCAGCAGTGCGACAGAGAGACCGGAAAGTGCGTCTGTCACAAAGGGATCGGCGGTGAGAAATGCGACATGTGCGATCGTGGTTACTACGGAAACGCGCCGCAATGCAATCCCTGTGGCGAGTGTTTCGACAACTGGGACTTGACATTGTCTGGCCTCAGAAATAAGACGGATCTCGTGATAGAAGAAGCGTCGAGGATTCAAAAAGTCGGTACGACTGGCGTTTATAGGCAAGAATTCGACGATATGGACGAATCTTTGGAACAAGTGAAAGCACTGATCAGTAACGCTTCGATCAGAAGTCAAGATTTGGATGAATTGAACGACCTGGCGATCGAATTGAACAACAATGTGTCCGCGTCCACGAAACAAATAGAGGAAGTGAACAATTTACTGGAGAATGTCAATCAAAGAGTGAATCTGGGCGACGCTGCTCTCAAGAATTTGAAGAACAGAACCAAAAGTTTACATCAGGCAGCTGCGGATCTTAAAGAAAATGCAACGAGACTGCAAGAGGAGAACGTACAAGGCGCTTTGAATGTTACGCAGCAAATGGCTGAGCAGTCGAAACAGGCGGAGAAAACGGCAAATGATACCAGCAACATTCTCGCCGATGCGAAGAGGTTCAGCAAACACACGGAGAGCCTGCTAGGGAAAAACCGTGCCTTCGTCGAGTCGTCGCAAGAGAAGAACAAACAAGCTTTGGATCGGATCGGCGAGAAGCTGAAGAATTTCAACAGGATCATGCCGGGATTAAATCTGCAAATGTGCGGTGATAACGTTACGGACTGCAGTAGCGTGTGCGGTGGTGCCGGATGTAGTTTCTGCGGAGGCTTGTCCTGCGATGTGGGTGCTGTAACCAAGGCGAATCAAGCTCTGGACGTTGCTAAACAACAGGCTGCGAAGATCAAGACTCATAAAGACGAGGCTGAACAATTACTTCGTAACGTAAGTTTCATTCGATAAATTGTAAGAAATATCACGGTTCTTAATTTCATTCAATGACTGTATTCACTTGAACAGAAAACAAATTTTCTTATGTTTAGATGATTCAAGTGGAACGCGATGCAACGACGGCCAGATCGAACGCCCAGGATGCATTCAACTATGCCTTGCGAGCCCGTACGCTCTCTGATGAAGTGATCAAAAGCGTATCCAACGTGAACGATCAAATTCGAGACACGTTGGACGAGGGTGAACCCACCCCAGCTATGGTCAGAGATCTAGCCAACGAGGTCCTGGCAATGAACATTCAATTAAAACCCGATGAGATCAAAGAATTAGCGGATCGTATAAAAAATATCGTTGGCTCGCTAACGGATTCGGAGAAGATCCTCGCGGACACCAGAGACGACCTTCTTCTGGCTGTGCGATTAAATGAAAGAGCCAATAGAAGCAGGGAAAACGCGATCCAGAAACAACTTTTAGCAACGAAAGTGGCGGATCTTTTGAATGATGCGCAGAAAGCTCAAGATCGAGCTCAAGTGGCGATCGAGCAGGCTGATCGTGACGTTAACAGGTCGGAAATGGATTTAGAGGAAATTGCTGAGGTGACTAGGGGCGCTCAGATGCAAGCAAACAGCACCACGCAAAGAGTCGAGGCTCTGGACGCTCGCTTGAAACAACTGCAAACACAATCAGTGAGAAATGATTTTGTTCTCAATCAGGAAATTGGTGTAGAGGCAAGTAAAGTCGCTGCAGAGGCGCAGAATGTCGATGCGAAGACCAAGGAGCTTGCTAAAGAGTATAAACGAGCGAATGAAGCTCTAGACTCGAGGGTGAATAAAAGCAGAGGCAGTATATTGAGGGCTAAGAAGCTTCTGCAAAGAGCTTCAGAGCTCACTGCTGATACGTCGACTAAATCCAAAGATCTGGACGGTATGGAGAGCGTTTATAAGGATAATGAAAGGATGCTCTCTGATTTGAAAACTGATGTGGATTTTCTGACTGCGGAAATGGAGAAGCATTTAGCAGAAATCGAGAAGAAGGCACAACAGTACAGGCAATGTACTTCTTGAATTATTCAAATTAGTCTTTTTAATCGAAGTCCTGAAGTAATGAAATTAAATTAGCGAAAGCATGTGTTTGCACGAATATCAGATGATTTTATGTAAAAAGTACAACTTCTTTTTTAAGAACGATACATGTTTACTCGCTTTTTGTATCCACATTATTTGTTATTTGCACAACAAATATAACAACAATATTATTTCGTGGCTCCGATTAGAGAATCTCGAATTGGAATTCATATTTTTGTGCGAATTGATTTTTTATACATTTTATGTAATTACATTAGAGAGAAAGAAATTTTACAGTGCCATATTCGCGAACAGAGGCCATTTATTTGTTAATTTACATTTACACATATACGAAACATTTTTAAAACAAAAATTTGTTTATCTTTAATAATCGTCTTCCATGCAGAAAAATGCATTTCTTCTCTTTGTGGACCAAATATTTAAAAAGTATAGAACAGAGCATTTAAACTCTTGATCACATGATCTGATTAAGAATAACAATACAATTATACGTACTTTAAAAGATGATTTATTATACGTAGAAAATGACTGATATAGTTAATGCAGAATTAAATATTAATATTGTTATAACTATTAAAATCTGATACTAACGAAATAATCAATAGCATCATATAGCATCTTTTGCACAAGTTATAATAGATTTATATCGTTCAACGCGCCTGAAACTATATATGTATAAATTACTGTACTTATGTACGAGCATGCATTTATATATTAAGACTCGATGCAATAGATAGAAATTTTTTACCTTGTAAATATAATACATTTTTCTTACACAAAACTGCATTTCCTCTCTTTATAAAGCATTTTTATAGATGGAGATATTTTAAAGAACATTTTCATATTATATTTTTAATACATGTAATAAAATAATTACAATGAATCGCACTGTAGAATATTATTGTAAAACTACAGCCTTATAGAAGTGAAATTCGAAAGGGAAGAAAAAAGATGGAAAAATTGTTGAGAAGTACGTAAAAGAGACTTCCTAGGTAAAAGAGAATCATAGTTACTTATTTATGTACTGCAACAATCGATTTATTGACATTGTCAAAGATTTACTATTCTCTGTTCTCGTTCAGATAAGAAGTGGAACAATGCTTCAAACCAAAAGTTTGTCAATTGTATTTAAGTAGTTTTGTAACAATAGAGAACTAAGTACGTGTTTGGAAAATAAATGTGTTATAAAACTAATCCTGCATTTTTAAATTCATTTACCTTCGTCCCATTCCTTTTAATAATTGTATAATATATAAAAAACATAATCAGTGCTCATCATAATAACTCTCCAGCAAAAACGAATTTCATATGAGTTGTACAATCTTCTGACTTAAAACGATACATTTTTGATAAAGAACAACCACAAAACTGGTGGATTCGAGTGATAACACCATTTCCTTAACTTAACACATTTCTTCTTATCGTTGGTAAAGTTATGGAAGAACCAGACCGGAAGTTTAACCAAGGAATGATAAAATTCTTACGTTCGGACAATTACGTCATACAATCTGAATTTTCTGAATGAATTCTAAGAATGTAAAAATTAGCTCGAGATTCATTCCACCAATTAATTATTATAATTTAAAAAATCCCAAACGATATTGAATTGATTAATCATAAAAAGTCGCTCTTGTATGAAATGAAAAAAAGTTTTCCGGTTATCAACTTGCATATTTTTTCTAGTCGATACATACATGTAACACGGCTCCTTTATAAAAATAGTAATCTGTAGCCCACGTGGTTTATTATCGTAGGCTCTGGTTTCGATCTACACGTGCGTCCCACCCTTTCAAAGATCTCTGTCCCGTCTATCTGCATTTCAAACTTCCTGAACCGACATCCGTGTCGATCTCCAGATCTCTTCCTTCAATCAATCTTCACAAGAGCTAACAATTTTTCTTTTACGAAATATATAAATCGATACATAAAATCATTAATACAGTCAAAATGTCTGTTAAATTAATTTTTATATTATCAATAAGTTGGTTGATTATTTCATACATTAAAATAAAATATAAACATTTGTTTTATAATGAAGTGAAATAATTGACAGGACAATGAAATCGGTATTCCTAACACTATTATTATAGAATGTGTATAGCGTTTATAATTCTTTATTCACATGCAATCCTGCAGATGCTTACAATTCAACAAATTCGGAGAACGGCATTTCGTATGCACCAAGGTATATGTTACACAGTCAGACACACCTCGCCCTAAGTCACCCTTTCGGCTTTTAGAATCGTCGCTCCGGACATCGGAGGGAATGGTACGTATGCATTTCGTGAATAGACGGCACTGTTGAATTGAAATGGTGTGTACGGCCCTCGTGGAACTATGCATAATGAGTTCATTCAGAGCACGCGCGAGCAGTGGTTGTCCAGCATTCCGCTATCAGTTATTGCCAGTATTTTATTATCAGAACAGGAGTAAAAAGTAATAAAACCTACAAGCAGAAATGCAAAAACGTAAAATCATTTGTTAACATGTAGGAACTGAGTATAGAAAAAAGTGTGTATCAGTATGGCGATGATTTATCGCAAAGGATTTTTCAATGTACGCACGTCTCACAGACTTTATCGTTCTGGTATTGCCAAGATTTATTGCTACCAATTTTTACTACATGCAGATTATAGTTGTCTGTATGGGTAAACGTTGAACTCTTATTCTTGAAATGAGAATGATGAAAGAAATCTTTAATGATTCCTGGGTGAATCTTAATTACTACACATTTTCAAGTGAATAATGTCTTTCTATTTAACAATACAACAGCACCACTGTTAATTGAGAAGGAAAAAATTAATCAGCATAAACCCACATAAGATCAGGCCTGGTTTTGGGAGTTCCCTTATAGATAACTTATCAGCATAATAAATATAGACTACGATATTCCGGCGTTTTTACTTATCTATATGCTTAC